GCCAACGCTTGCTGGGAGCTCGCTCGGTGCCGGGCACAGTGCTAGGCTTCCCTGGGTTCACTCATGCACTGCTCGCGAGCACCCGACGGGGTGGGAACTGTCAAAACCCCCTTCTACAGGAAGGCAACCGAGGCCCAAGGGGCTCCTCTGCCCGCCTGGGTCGCACAGCCCAAAGTGGCAGAAAGGGAACTGGAGCCCGGCTCTCTAGCAGCGGGGGGCCACTGAGGCTCTTTCACACTTCCCGTGTCTCAGCGCGCCTGTCCCTGCCGCCGGCCTCGCCCGAACCTTCCTCTGGGCAAGGCTTTCCCCAACACCTCGTAATTCTTGGCTTTCAGGTCATGCATAAGAAGTGAGGCTCTGAGATCCGTCTGGAAGCTCGGGCTTCGTGAGGCAGCTTTTCGGCCTTCAGTATGTTGGCCTCGTCCTGGGGCATCAGACAGGGCTGACCGCTTCACCGGGGACACTTCTCAGTGCCAGAAGAGCAGATGTTTTCTTTGTGGCATTTACTTTTTGTTCAGTATCCTTTTTTTTAAGTGTTTTATTATTTTTTGAGAGAGAGAGAGAGAGAGCGAGCACGCACACGCAAGTGGGGGAGGGGCAGAGAGAAAGGGAGAGAGAGAATCCCAAGCAGGCTCCGCACTGTCAGCACAGAGCCCGAAGCGGGGCTCGATCTCACGAAATGACCTGAGCCGATATCGAGAGTCAGAGGCTTACCCAACTGAGCCACCCAGGCGCCCTGGCTTTAAAGAGAGGAGGCCTCTGGTGTTTCTGGTCTGGGAGCAGAGGTGACCTCCACAGTGTTTTCTACAAGTATGTCCAAGCTCTGCTTCTCCTGGTGCTGGGCCTGAGTCCTGGAGGCCCCCCGGCCTGGCTCAGATGTTATCCTTTGCTTCCTGGATTATGAGGCAGCCCAGGAGGTCCCAGGAGAGGAGCCAGGGGTGCAGGCTCATTCAATATTTCCACACCTGCCATTCCTTGCCGACTCCGGGGTAGGAGTGAGGGGCCGCTGTGCCCGCCCACTGAAGGTGGAGACGTGGGGGAGGGTGTCAGCGACGTCCCTCATTTCCTCCCCCTCACTTCCGCCCTCTGCCACCTTCTAGCCACTCCCTCTGCCGCTCCCACTAAAGGCACCACGCTCTCCAAGAGGCGATCTCCAGGCAAAGACGTCAGGCCGGACGCTGCCCTCGGGCCCACGGGTCAGTAACTCCCTTCCCAGGCTGGAAACAGGCTATTTCCTATTCACTGTGTATTTCTAGCACCTGGACCCTTGCCCAGCATGAAATAGTCCTCAGTAAACATGTGTTGGGTGAACACATGAGTTCAAGGCTGGAAGAGGGTGGGTATAAGCAGGCATCCGATAGATGTCCCGACAGACGAATGAACGCGTAAATGAACGCAGCACGCAAATGACCCTAAAACACAGTGGCTTCAAATGACAACCGTTTGCTTAGCTCTCGGGTCTGCGATTTGGAACTTTGGTCTGGGCTCAGTTGAGTGGTTCTTCTGGTCTCAGCTGGACTTACTCACGCATCCGAGATCAGTTTGGGGGTCGCTCTGTTTCAGGGACACCTTGATTCCCCTTTGTGTGGTCTTCTCTTCCACTTCCGGCCCAGCCGGCCCCAAAGAGTGGATGGAAATGATATGACCACAGGTCACATAGAGTTCACTCATCCATTCAAAACATATTCATGAGCACCTACTGTCTTCTAGGTGCTAGAGATAGAGCGGTGAATAAGACGGACAAAAATCTCTTCCCTCATCGGGCAGACCTTCTAGTCGGGGAACAGAGACAATAAATACGAATTATAAGAATTGTGTATCAGGTGGCTTAAAGCTGCCATCAAGAGAAATAAAGTAGCATTAGGATTAGAGAGTGACTGGGGAGTAGTTTTCTGCAAAGGGCCAGGGAGACCTCCCTGAGAAGGAGCTGCGGGGGAGATATGCAGATGTCGGGGGAAAGGCGTCCCAGGCAGAGGCAGCGGCCAGTGCAAAGGCCCTGAGGTGAGAGGGACCTGGCACGGCCACCAACAGGGCGGCCGGTGGGGCTGGAGCATCTGGGTGAGCAGGAGGGTGAGAAGCTGAGGTAGAGAGGTGATGGGAGCCACATGTGTGCCATGTGAGGCTTTTGGTCTAAGTGTCCCAAGGCGGAGACCGACTGTCACCCCTCCACCGACTCTGCCACTCACGGCTTCGCTCCACAAATGTTTGCCGAACTCTGACTTGCTCCACGTCTGTCCCCCCAGGCGCCAGTGAGGACAACCCCTTCTCCTATGGTAAGTTACCTGTGGGAGGATGTGGGAAGAGGGAGGGAGGAAGACCCCTCTTGCCATACTCCGTTTTTCTCTCTGCAGACGAGGACACTCTCCGGAAGCGGGGGCTGTTGGTCGCAGCCGTGCTGTTCATCACGGGCATTGTCATCCTCACCAGTGAGAATGGGGGGGGGGGGGGGCACCGCGACTGGGAGAGAGGCGGCCTTGGCTTGCACTTTGACTGAGGGGTCAGTTCTTGAAGGCCCCTGAGCAGAGTTGTCTTATTTATTTATTTACTTACTTACTTATTTAATGTTTATTTTTGAGAGGCAGAGAGTCAGAGCACGAGTGGAGGAGGGACAGAGAGAGAGGGAGACACAGAATCCAAAGCAGGGCTCCAGGCTCCGAGCTGTCAGCACAGAGCCCGACGTGGGGCTCGAACTCACAAACTGTGAGATCATGACCTGAGCTGAAGTCGGACGCTCAACTGACTGAGCCACCCAGGTGCCCCCAGAAAAACTAATTCTTAAAGTAGTTTTTTAAATGCTGCAGATTAAATAAAACACGCGGGCCACCAGTTTGCAAGCTCTCGGTTAAGCCGTATAACCTCCACCAGGTTTATCCCCTCACTTCCCCATCAGGAAATGCACACAGCCGCATCTTTTCTCAGCTACGGTGGGAGGCAGGAGGCTAATAGCAATAAAAAGAGTGCCCGAACCGCACTGGACCCAGGGGTCGCACACAGGTGCCTCAGTCGTGACTGACTTTGAGCCGGGTCCTGTCCACACACACAGCCCCACCTCCACCGCCGTGGGACAAGTGAGGCTCAGAGAACTGGGGAGTTTGCTCAAGGTCACAGAGCACTAAAAATCAGGGAAGGACTAGACCCAGGTCTGTGTGAGGGCAGAGCCTGAAAGTTAGCTCTGGGGCCATAAGTTGTTCCAATGACAATAATCTGTGGGCACCTGCTCTGTGCCCACCTGTGCCCTGGTGCCCGCCCTCGGGGAGCTCACATCCAGCGAGGGAGTGACAATAAGCAGGTGAGTGCCCCGGTGAGCTGAGTGGCTACGAGAAAGGTCATCACCGTAAGGAAAACAGCAGAATGACAAGCCAAGAGGGACGGGGAGCGACACTTTATCTCTAAAGAGAGACCATCAGAAGAGATTCCCTGTCAATGAGAAAGACGATTTTGAAAAACAGTGGAAAGGGGCAGCAAGTGCAAAGGCCCAGACGCAGGAAGGAACTGAGCATGTCGCAATAACCACGGGAAGAAGCCAGGGTGGCTGGGGCTGTGT